GTCTGCGTTCCAGGCATTGAAATTGCCGTGATCATTCTCGTAATTGTCCTACTATGTTGTTGCTCGTTTTTTGCTCAATAGAAGCACTAAGTGCATGCGTTGGAGCTCACACTCACCTGATCTTATCGTACTGCGCTCCGACTCCTGGCGACAGAAATAAATGATTCGGGTGAGAATGAAATAGGGAAGTTGTCACGTGCAGCATTTTGGACGGCCGAAGACAGTGTGACTTGGCCAAACCTTGTCACCGTCCATAGTCAGTACTCTATTACTTGCAGGCCTCGCTACAAACAACAGTTTCGGTTCTCTTCGCTATTGTGTTAGGCCGCTGCTTGTTAAACATGCTCGGAATCCTCTAGTCTCCTAACTGCCCACGAATATTTAAACCTTGTTTGTACTTTTTACCTCAAGTTCCCTTCTGTCGATCGATTCGATACGCAACAAAATTTCATTTGTTTTGCCTTTGTTTCGTCTAGCCGCGACAACATCAGCCTGACCACGACTTTGGCTGAAGCCAAGAACCCCCTGCCCCTCCCCCCTCATCCCCTCCTCCGTTTTATGATCCGATCCTAAGAGCTTTCGGTCCCCCTTTTGCTACATACCTCCACCTATTCTCTCTCTTTCATCTCATGCGCTTCCAACTAGTCGGTTGCAAATTCGCTTCTTCAAAAATCTAAATGCCAAGAGTATTTCCTATCTAAGGACGTGTGTGCAACGATTTTGGAGCCCACCAGCGCAACTCCTCAGACTAATATTTTTTTCTCGACCTCTACCGACTGATCTGCCAAGAATTTATTTTCGCAAGTTCCTTCCGAGATCCAAGCCCGTTGTCTACCTCTCAGTCACCCGTAAGAACAGAACCTGGGAGGCCTATTGAGCCCCCTCTGTCTTGGTTGGCAGTAATATATATATACAGTACATTAATGCACCGTTCTCCAATGCCGTTGCCGATGCGTGTGCACATCTGTACATACACACCCGCACATAATCATCATCAAAGGCACCCGAGCTTCTACTGCCTTGCCCCTTGCTCCCTCCTTTTGCTAACCTTCTGCACCACTAGAAGTAACCAGAGAACAGCTTTATTTAATCCTTGTTTATCGCACACGTCACTGCCCTGGCGGTGGCGCTGTGACTCCTCTAATTCCCG